AAACAAAAACCAAAACGAAGCACCCCCCCCCCCCCCCCCCGAAATCTCTAGTGTCTAGTTTAAATCATAGGGTCTCTAATCTCTTTCATGACTTACAGTAGACAAAATAATTCTGGTTCCCATGAAAAGTTGTTTATTTTATATAGTTAGTTCCAAAATCTTATAATAGAAGTTTTGATATTCCAAATTTGTCTGGACCCTTAATTAGTTTATAACTTTCTTGGTTCAAAATCTTATTTAGCTTTTTGCCATTTATTTCAAATTCTTTAAGTTCTTAAACTTATAGTTAATTTTTCTTTTGTTCAGAAATAAACATAGACTCACCAGGTGGCTTTTCAACCCTTAATTAGTTTATAACTTTCTTGGTTCAAAATCTTATTTAGCTTTTTGCCATTTATTTCAAATTCTTTAAGTTCTTAAACTTATAGTTAATTTTTCTTTTGTTCAGAAATAAACATAGACTCACCAGGTGGCTTTTCAAACTTGATTTCTAGTAGCCGTAAGATAGTTAAAATAGGCAATTTCCGAAAGTGATTAGAAGTGAGGTTAGTGAACTTAAGTGTTCTTTAAAAGGCTCTACTATGGTTGTGAACTTGATGATTGATCCCTTTGTTTCCTGGCACTCAAACCCATGGGGGACTGCTGTCCTGCTATTTCCTTGTGAGGAGCATACTTGTAGGCAATTTCCCGTCCTCTCCTTGTCTGGTGAAGTTCCAAAGAACTGGTCTACTCACTGGTTCTTTGGTCTTTGCCACGGTTTTCGTCTCCACTCTCCATGGAGATGTGTTTAACTTGCCATGCCTCCAATAGAAGTCCAGAAAGAATATTCTTTTTAATCTGATATTAATCCCTAGCTCAGACTTTCCAGTTGTTTGGAGTACAGGCTTCATCTGACAGGAATGAAGGATGATGTAGTTCCAATGTACCTCAAGGATACAACATTGGTAAAAGCTGCCCCAGTCATTCTACAACACCTGGCATCATCTCACTATTACTCTGCTGACTATGAGATATATGGTTAGATACATGTATAGCAACCTAAAGTAGAAATGTGTATTGGAACAGATCCATGGGGCACAGAGTCATTAAAGGACAAAGTTGAAGTGAGTTGCCCTAGATTGAACAATAATTTAAGTGGCTTATTCTATGTTAACATGGTATAATACTAGAATTTGTGAAATTATGCCCTTTATGATCTAACTCAAACCTTTTGAGTAAAATGGAGATTTTTGCAAAAAAAACAAAACTAAACTAAGGATGACTAAAAATAAATGTTCCTGAGTT